TAATCGGTCAAAATTAGTATTCACCTCAACTTTTTATAGTTTCATCGTAAGTAATATTCTTTCCATTCGCATTTAAGATATACATAATACATAAATATACCCTTTAATTTAGCTTCAGCTGGCATTTATGCCCTTCAACTTTGGGTGTGCATAAGTAGACACTTAAATTTATATGAAACTGAACAAGCAACAGACACATGCATGCGTCCTACATAGCATAATACACGTAGGATGCCACGTAGGACACAAAATTGTCAAGTATGACGCTAGGTAAGACGAATGTATTGTCTATTTGTTCAATTTTATACAAGTTTAAGTGTCTACTTGTGCACATCTAAAATTGAAGCGCATAGATGTTAGCTAAAGCTAAGTTGAATGACAGATTTATGTATTATATATGTTGTTTGTCGATTTTACAAAGTTTGTTATGAATTGAAATGAAAAGGCTTTCTTCACTTGTTAGCGCTACAAGATAGAGAGTTTAATCAAATATCACCACATAAAATGAGACGATGAATTATGAAATTAACTTGACAATTAATATTAGTCGATTACATTAATGACTATGTAAGCTTGTTAATTAATATTTTTATATAATATATATATGTGGAAGCTTGGAAGGAGAAAAAAAAAAGAGGTGTGGGGGTTAAATAGAGTTAAAAGGGACATTACATAAGAAGGTAGAGACAAGGCTGTTGTCCCTGCCACTTTCACACAGCAACTGTTGCCTCTTTTCTCACACACTAATCACTGATACACCCCACCCCCACCCCCCTACCACTGACCCTAGCTATACTATCAGTCTGAGATCCTTCTACTACTACTATATATTTTTGAAGATTTATCGAAAAATAATCTCTTTTATCGCTCTATAGAGTAGTAATAAGGTTTATGTATATTTTACGTATCTTTTCAGATGACACTTGTAAAGTTAATATTGAGTATGCTATTATTGTTACAATATGCTTCTACAACTTACTACTAGTATATATGCATCTATATTTTGGTTTTATCATATATTCTATTTATCTTAATTTATGTGATAATGTGTGGCCGAACACAAAGTATAAAAAAAGAAAATTTTGCACTCGGGGTTTGTAACTTTTCTGATGGGATATCACTATTGAAAATCGCTATAATTATGTTTCTATTGGATTTTCCATCAGAAATTTCTAAGGAACAAGTTGAATTTCGATGGGATGTCTATTGAAAGTTTATGATTTTCTACTAGTAACATTATTGTATTTGTGGTTAGTTTTAAATATAAGAATTTTAAGGTTATATAGTCATTTTTGTGATAATAAAAATACCAAATTTAAAGTTAAATTTATTATAAATATAGAAAATGGTCGTCTTTATGAAAAAAGACGAAAGTATATGATTGAATACAAAATTTAAGAAAAAATTCTAATTTTTTATAGCTATAGAATTAAGTAATTAATTAGGATAAAATATAAAATTTTAAATTAAAATTATTTTTAAAATTTAACAAAATTAAATTTTTACAGATTAAAAAGAAAAATATGTCACGATAAATTAGAATAAGTAGTATACTATAGTTAATTTCCACTTTGATACCTACATTCTCTCCTATCACATCCATTTAGTAATTCAATGCATTAGCATGAAAAAATAACCCCATTTATTGGAGACTTTCTTTAATTCCCACAATCGATAATAGTGTTAATTGTTTTTTGCATGCATGCATGCATTTAATTGGGTGCTACAATTAAAATTTAAAGCTATTATTATATATACTATACTCTAGTACTACCTAAGTTTACTGCAGTAGAACTAGCTTCTGCACTTGTCCTACTCATCAACTTGTGATTAAGTACAAGTACATTACTTCATCTTCGTTAACATTAGTTGTGGTGGATGATTTCGATTCCTTCGTTTTTAATTAAAAGTTTTGAGCATTTAGGAATGAAAACAATTTTATTAATGTGCATGTCGTGTTCAGAAATGATCCTATTATAATGAACAAATTCAAATTTAATCAGATTTGAATATGAATATTGAACCCTTAATGAACAAAAAATAATTATATAGGTATATAATTTGTAAATGTTAATTTCGCCACTGATAATAACAACAATGACAACGATATATATGTAAACTTCAATTCCAAGCGAAGTAAAGTTTCACTATATACAAATTATCATTAATCGTATGGCTTCATTTAAGTTTATTCCACACCATTCATGAGATTAACAAAATTATGTCATATATATATATATCAATTTTTTTTCACGTGTGTTACACGTATATGACTTGTTTAAAAATATAAATTATTTGATACTATTTAAGCTTAGTATTGAATAACGTAACTAATTTTGCATAAAAGAATATTGTTGATTCTTTTGCCTTATTCACCTAAATCGATGAAGACGGACAAAAATAATTATATTTCATTCCACATACGTTGCACGTATATGTCGAGTATAAAAGTATACATTCTTGTTTAGTTTTGAATTTGTAGATTCAAAATTTTAGAAATATAATTTATTGAGTTTTAAAGTTAATAAAAATATATAATTAAAATTTTGGTTCTGCCCACATATACAAAATCAAAATGTTTGTTTCACCATTGATAATGGTGACAATAAAAGCAATAATTGAACTTAATTTCAAGAAAGTTAAAGTTCATTATTTGAACGTGTCTTCGATCACATCGCTTCTTATATCAAGGATCCGAATTTTGAATTTATAGATTCTAAATTTAAAAAATGATAGTAACTTATTGTGCTTTGAATGAGTATATTTCTTTCGCTAAATTTACTAAGAATCCAAAACTAAAACTCTGATTCTACCCACAAACAAAATCAAAAATATTCATTTCGTCACTGATAATAACGACAATACTAACAATATAAAACTTTAATTTAAAAAAAATCAAAGTTCATAGTAAAAACATAATCAAAATGTGTATTTCGCCGCTATAATAACAACAATAAAAGCAATAATTGAACTTCAATTTCAAGAATATTGTTGAGTCTTGTGAATGATGGATGTGGATGGTCCTAATGTCACTTATTCACCTAAACATATAAAACGATAAAAAAATAATTGTATCTCAATATTGCATATACATTGCACGTGTATATCGAGTCTGAAAATATATATTCTTGTTGAGTTTTGAATTTATAGGTTCATAATTTTAGAAATGATAACTTATTAAGTTTTAAATAAATTATATAATTTTTATATGTATATATAATTTTTTTAGTACAAATATAAATTATTTTTGCTGCTAAAGTTATTAAGAACTCATAATTAAAACTTTGATTTTGCCCACTAAAACATAATCAAAACATTAATTTTGTCGCAGATAGTAATGACAATAATTAATAATTGAACTTCAATTCCAAAAAAGAGCATATATATATATGATAAAAATAAAAATGCATAAGCCTTATTTTTCAAATTCCTCTTCGTTATAATCATCAACAAGATTTTATTACTAGAGATTGGAATTTTGAACTTATAAATCCTAAAGTTTAGAAATAATAACCTATTTTGTTTTGAATCAATTATATATATATATATATATTTTTTATTATTTTTTATTTTTTTATTTTTATTTTTTGCTAAAGTTAATTACTTAAAACGATAAATAAAACTGATTATGACCACATAAACTTAATCAAAATTATCCTCGATCATGTCATTTCATTTAAGTTCATCACATGGGGGAGGAGTAACAAAAAAAATCATATATACATATATGATTTTTTTTAAAAAGCAACAGACTTGTCTTTCAAATTCTTCTTTTGGTTATTATCATCAGCAAGATTCTTATTATTTGAGATTATAGTATATTCAAAAGTTTGAGTTTATAGATTTTGAATTCAAAAAATTGGTAATTTACTGAATTTTTGATAAATTATTCATATATATAAATTTCTTAGTTAAAATTTCTCTTAGTTTTTTTTTAAAAAATTATGTCAAATTTATGATTAAAATTATATCTTCCTTAATGATACAATCAACTTAATTAATCCAATATATCATGTGTCTATTTTTTTTTAAAAAAAATCTACTTATTTACTCAATTACAGAGCCATCAATACTTAAGGGGTGTCAATATACATTATTCTACTGATAAATTATATTATAATTGTATTTTCTCTACCTCTTCCCAGGTTAACTTATTTTTTAATATCTTGACTCTCAATAAAAATTCTGATTCCACTTCATTATATTTATTTAATTATTTTTTTGGCTTCCCACTCAAAGTTCGGTAATCGATATTGAAGTCCGATAAAATTCGAATATTTGTCGAAAAGTTTCAGAGTAAAGTGCATCTTAACAAAGGCGACTCCATAAAGGACTCGAATCAGAGACCTCTAATTAAAGAACTAAAGAGTACTTACTACTCCACCGCGACCCGATATTTACTCCATTGTTTGTTACCTCACAAACTACCTTCTACTTTACATTTGTTTTCACTTACATATGAAAATCTCACCATTCTGCCTCATCTATCTCTGATCACCTAGTCTCTCTTTTGTCTTTTTATATATCCTTTCTCTTTCTATTACCTAAGAATATATATATATGTATATACCTTAGTCCCTTTTCTAGTGAGATCTCCTCCCCCCTACCCCCACCCCCACCCCACCCTCAACTCTCTTTCACATGTAACCTACTTTATTTATTCCATCACATCTCTATAACAATCAAACACAACTCATTTTTCTTTCTTTGTTAGTTTCTCTCTTCACAACAAAAAATAATAATATTAGAAAACAACTTCTTGATGAAGTTCACAAGCATCTATCAACATCTTCTCATCTTACAAAATTAAAATCCATGCATGAAACCATTCAAAGAAATCTTTTACCTCTTCTAAAGGAAACTCAAACACAACTAAATTTTAATTTCCTCCACCTCTCTCCTTTTTATCATTTCTCTTTATATATATATATATTTATTTTATTTTATTTTATATATACTGTTCATTATTAGGGTTTGTTCACTAGCTAGCTAGCTCTTCTTCACACTCGAGAAAGAAGAAGAAGAAGAGTGAAGTCGCTAAAATCCTTTTATGTTATGATGAGTCAAGATAACAAAGACGAAAGCCAGAGTTCTGGTGGTGGTGATGGTAGTGGTGGTGGGCCCATGGGGCGGAGGCCAAAAGAACAAGCTTTGAATTGTCCTAGATGTGATTCTCCCAACACCAAGTTTTGCTATTATAACAATTATAGTCTTTCGCAACCAAGACATTTCTGTAAGACTTGTAGAAGGTAAACTATTGAATTGTATGACTGTCTTATCAATTTTTGTTTTTATTTTTCTTTTTGGGGTGGCTTATGAGGTTTAGAATTGTCATACACGTCTTTCCTGCTCTGATAACATTTTTGAATTATTATGATTTATTTCTACTAAAAGGTTTTATTTAACTCTTGAATCGTATAACCTTCTCATCTAACGATTTGTTTTTATCCTTTTTTTGGTTTTTTTTTTGTGAGATTTTGAACGGTAACACGCTTTATCTGCTCTGATAAACATGTTTAATCTAAAAACTTATATTATTGTTGGAAAAATTGCTTTTTTAGTTACTTAATTATATCATGTATCGACAGGTACTGGACTAAAGGGGGCGCATTACGCAACGTTCCAATAGGTGGTGGTTGCAGGAAAAACAAGAAGATAAAGACTAGTTCATCTTCTTCAAGATTTTCTGGGGATTCAAAAGATACAATTAGTGGTTCTTCAGATATTGGTGGACTTAAATTTTTTCATGGTCTTTCACCAGCTATGGATTTTCAACTTGGAGGATTAAATTTTCCAAGATTGAGTAATAATACTTCAACATCAACAGTTGGTGGAAGTATTTTCAACCAATTTACTTCATTTGGTGAAAATTCAACTCCAAATATTGGATCAACTTCTTGTTTTAGTCTTGATCCTTCAGGAAGTTCTTTATTGGGATTCAATAATAATTTCCCTTTCTCAAGTTCTATGCTAAAACAAGGTAAGAATCAATTAATTGTCTTGTGTGTCATTACACGTCTTTAACGTGTGAGTCTGATTCTTTTTTACTATGTGTCAACCATGCGAAAGTTTTCTTTGGAATTTTTTAACACGACAACGGTGATGTTTAATTTGAACTTAATCAGCATATCTCGCGTGTTCTCATATCATGATGAAGTGTAAAACTCGAGGCTTTAGTGTCGTTTCCTCTCAGGCCTAATTATGACCTAAACACGTGAAATTTGAACCTACGACCTCTTGTCTGTTCTAACAACATGTTAAGATGTAGGGGACTATACATCTTTTTAATTATAATTAATATACTCGTACTTACTTAATTATATTATGTCTGAACAGGTACTGATGGAGTTCAAGAAATGGGATCAATGGGAGTTCATCATGGTACAATGGCATCTTCTATAGAGTCTTTGAGTTCAATAAACCAAGATTTGCATTGGAAATTACAACAACAAAGATTGGCCATGCTATTTGGTGGTGAAAATCAAAAGGAAAACATTGTTTCATCATCAATCCCTCTTCATGATGATCAAAACCAAAATCAAAACCAAAACCAAATCCAAATCCAAAAGCCACAACCAATTTTGTTCCAAAATTTGGAGATTTCATCATCGAAACAACAAGAAGATCATCAAGAAACATTTGGAAACAACAATGTTGATTCAAGAAAAGATTGTAGTACTACTATGGGAAGTCATCATGGGAACAATTTGTCAACTGAATGGTTCTTTGATAACTCATTTGGTGTAAATCCAAATTCAACAAATAGCAACAACAACAACAACAACAATAACAATGGAAATGGAAATGCAAATGATGATCAAAATGTCAACAATTGGAATAGTACTATTCAAGCTTGGAGCAATTTGAATCAATATAGTACACTACCTTAATTAATTAATTAACTCTATTTTATTATGAGGTAAAAAAAATCAAATTTATAATATACTTATCTATTTAGGTCTATTTTTCTTTCAATTAGAAATTAGTATTTTATTTTTTTGGTATTTATGTTAAGTAAGACATCGATTTAAAGTTTTTAGTATTGAACTTATTGTAACTGTTTATGATTATAATGATGGTGGTTAATTTTTCAATATTGTTTGTTGCCTTGTTTGTTCTCATGTTCCACTAGTAGTTTTTAGTCCCACCACACACCTCCTCTTTTTTGTTTATATATACATGTTGCTTCTTGTCCTTTCATATATAGTGAGTTAATAATCAAAAATACCTCTTAATTAATATTATCGGATTAATTGAGTAGATCGATAGCGATAGTCTAGTCAGTATTCAAGGTGTGCTTAATACACAATAACTATAATTTAGATAACAATATAGAATAACGGTGTAAAAGTCACAAAAAGTTAGTGATAATTCAGATATGATTTTGATCATTATATCGTATATAATCAAATATGAATATTAATAGGTTAATTCCATTATTTGATTTTATTTTCTTGAATACATTTTTGGGATTGGTGATAGATTATTTTGTAGAGTCAGTAAAAAGATGGGAAACTTAATTGGGATATCTTTGATTTGTTATTGTATGTTGAGTCAGTCAGTATATATTCAGAAGTCCTATTGTGTCAATGTGTCTCCCTCTATTGTATATCAGGTAACCAATTCTCTGACTTCTTTATCTTATATATATAAAAAAATATTATTATTTTCTCCGTCTCAATTTATATAACAACATCTATTAGACACAAATATGAATTAGCTGTGAAATTTATCATTAGATAGGCCCATATATATATATATATATATATATATAGTTTCATGATAATCTATCGCTAATTTGTTGTTCATGATAATCTATCGTCAAAAAGGATTAACGAAGTATTTTTGTCATTTAGCAAGAGATATTCTCCATCGCTAAAAAGAGACTTTTGAAATTTCTGATCTAAACATTTCATAAGTATGATCTAGACTATAAAATCATACCGTTAAATGTAAATGAGAAGCTTAAAGTTGAATTATTTCAAAAATATTGCACCATTTTATGTGATACACTACCAAAATTTTCTATGTCTCGGATGCTAAATTCCAACGAATCGCCTATAAGAAAATAGTTATAAAAAAAAATTAGCGATTTTCTGATAGTGATTCGCGTAAAATAGGAGAGATAAGTATGTGTGATAGAAATACAACAGTTACTGAGGTCCTTTCAGAGCCTAACCTGCTATTGTTTAACTTCAAGCCTATATAGTATTATGTAGACACTGCTAGCTGCAGCTTTATTGTTCCCTATTCTCCATATAATTCTTTCTCTCACACACACATTATGTGGGGTTTTTATCATACTTCGATCCGTCTGTTTGAATTTATTTATCTTACTTTTATTTTTAGGTCGTTCAGAAAGAATGTATGACAATTCTTAACTTTTTGTATGACATGTTTAAGACTACAAAATTAAGAATATTTTACATATTTTTAGTTTAAAATCTTTTTTTTATCAAATTAAAATCAGATAAATAAATTCCGTGATTTGTTGGTGTCTGATAAAGTGGTGGCTTGAAAGTGTAGTAAATGCATATATAAGACTGTCAACATTTTTGAGTAAAACTGTAAAAGGGTCATAAGAATCTATGAACTTGGGGTTCTTATAAGTTTGTTTTTTCCCCTAGCTTTTCATGTACTTGGGTAATATTTGAAGTTTATGAATTTTTTATAATAATTCTATAGAAAACGACTCACTTCAATCATTTTATTCAAAAAGATTAATCCTCTACTATCCTTCTAATAAAATTTCGAAGAAGCTCTTAATTAAATAATATTTCCCTCACATTTTAGTTTACCCCCCGCCCCCCACCTCCCAAGAAAAAAGAAGAAGCTACCTAACGTTTTTATTCCATTCAAAGTGTGTTATGATTAAAGAAGGAAACACTCTTTATCAAACGATTGAGATTTTTAATTAATTAGTTTGGTGTGTAATATATATGAGTACATATGGTCCTTTTGTGGATTTTTTTATTTTGTTTTACTTTACAATAATATATCACTAGATTTTACAAGCGATTTTGAGAAAGTAAATATATGCAAACCTTAATTATCTGGCCTTATATCTTGTCTAAGATAACTAAATAGGTTATTATTTTTGAATGATCGATCCTCGACTCAAAATAAAAAATATTTTTTTGAAAGAAAAAAAAGTTTTATGTTAAGAGTGACACATACATAAACTTTTTTGAGCTTCATGGAACATTTCCACTTTCATCAAAAAGCAAAGATTAACAAGTTGAGACAAAATCTTAACCACCTTAAAAAGCTTCACAAACTTACGTAAGAATATAGCTTATATAACTATATTTTTAGGAACTTTAGAATTTCCATATATTCTACTTTTTTTTAGGACAAACTTTTTCTTTTCAAATTACTATTATAGTCCTGCACTACACGGTCAAAAGTTCGTTTCAAAATATTTGTCGCAACCTTTATCTTGTTCTCGATAACTATGCATCAGTAATCTACATTTAGATATCATAGAGTTATAACGAGTAAATACCAAATAAATATTTTTCTATACTATCAGTATAACAAAAAATACGAGTGATAACATGGTAGTTAATATTTTGATCGTATAAATATTTTTTTTATATACATGATAATATAATATATATTTTTGTTAACATAAAAAAAAAAAATGAGGGGGTGGGGTGTGTGAATGACGTGAAAGACACTCTGGAAGAGAACTACAACTACAAATGTCAATTTAGAAATCTGCGTGAAATTCATGAATTATTATATGATAGAGAAACTATAATGTGCTTTTCAACTTCACGATAAATAAGTGGTATTTTTTTTTTTTTTTTAAAATAATTTAGAATTTTTTTTATTTTTCTATCATAATATGACGGTTAGGGTGATCGAGTAATAGTAGAGAGGTCAAGTAGTTTGTAAAATTAGTGTAGCTGGTAAAGTTGTTGTTATACGTGATTTGAAAGTCACGGTGGATTCAAACAGTTCGAAACAACTTCTTGTAGAAATATATGGTAAGATTGTGTACACGATAGATCCTTGTGGTTTGATTTTTTTTAGACGCTCATATACTGAGAGCGTAGTACAGACAATTAGTGTTGATGGTTGTACTAAGCTCTTATAAAAAGCTTAGTACAAATGTTTCTCTTTTAATTAATCGAATCAGTAGATATCAAATATTTGATGGTTGTACCAAATAAAAATATATTCTTTGTAAAATTAAATTCAGGAATATTACTTTAGAAGTTTTAAAAAGCATCCATAAAAAAGGAGGGAAAAAGGTATTTTTATGACTGAAATAACTAATTATAATACAAACAAATATACATTTTATGATAAAAATTAAAAGTTTAATTTGAGGTCTTTCTGAATATATTTATAATACTAATCAGATACTTTCAAGTTTGGATATTTAAATAATTTTTTTATAGGATCGGAACACCTACATATTCTGCCTGATTAATAACTTTTGTAACATTAAATAAAATTTTGTAAAAATTCACTTCAAAATCCATATATTTGAAGGAAAATCAATTGACACACCATCTTCGATTCTATCATTACATGTTGTTTTCTTTGGTTGGATCATCAAATTATATGTAGTTGCTATTGGTTTTTTTCTTCATTATTTTCAACATGATATTTCCTTCGCATTATTCTTTTTCACTTGATCGAGGTTCTTAAAATTGCGTCACATCACCTTTCTTATAATTCAGTGATGAGATTACACTGAATACGTTATTATTAGTTAACGTACCAAATAGAAATTGGACCATCCATAGAATTAAAAAAAACTGTATTGAAAAATCTTTCTAGTCTATTATTTGTTCATTAAACGTTTTCTACAATATGGGTTGGTACTTGGTATGTAATCATTTTATTTTGGTTTCTTTCATTTTTTGTTCTTTTTTGCTACTAAAATGGTTAGTGTCCAAAACGAGAAAAATGCATTGAATAACGTCATTAAATTTGGACGCTTTGTGCAAAAAAATTTTTGTTAGTTCTGCAAAATTACAAAACACTATGTAATATCCCATTATTACAATTTTTGGACCTTTTCTAATTATATGAAAACAAACTTAAAAAATGTTATTTGGATTTGGGTTGCCCCACGAAAAAGATTCTTTTAATATTGAAAAATATCGTTTAGTGGTCAATAAAGTTAACATATATGAAATATATAAAAGATTAGAGAGTTGTTTTTAAGAAAAACATTTGGTAATGTCATATCTTAAGTTCATAACACTTATTATTTGCTTTAATCTAGTATGTATATTTTATGCATTTGTCCTTTTATTACGTTATCATTGAGCTAATAATACATGTAGAAGTCCCACCGATCCTTGTTTTTGATCCATACTTCGTAATAGACGTCATGACTAAGACAACGGGTACCAGCTAAAACACATCGAAAAATTCGTCATGAAATTGGTAACGGAATTCATCTACGCAGATGAATTTTGTTATGAATATGTTGGTTTAGTATAATTTTATTCTTTCATCATAAAAATCTTGTAGTGTTTGAATTTGTGATGTATCGCAGTAAAGGAGTTTGACACGAGTATGTTTTTCTCTTGTAACGATTATTAAAGTGCGTGCATATTAATTAGTTTGAACATCACTATTTTCTGGTTATAGTTTAATGACCTATCTGTAGTAGGGGCCTTTAGTCATTTAATTAGAATAGGATCACATATTAGACCAAAGTTTTGAGCTTTTGTGGCCTACATTTTGTTGGGTTGAGCTTGGGGCCTTAAATTGGTTATTGGAGTTAGAACTTTAACTTGTAGCCAAAGAAAATAAAATAAAATAAATGGTTATTTTATAAATATTACTTTATTTTCTCTTGTTCGGCCCATGTAGTTGGCCTTTCATTTACCTTTTATCTAAGGTTTATTTGGTGATTTATACAAATAATCTCGGAGGATGGAGGGTGATCTTGAATTTTTGACCACGTTTATTCCATGGATAAAATTATAAGATCGATTTTTTTTATTTTTCTCATGGAGTGAGTTGAGGTCAAAATTTCAAAATCGCTAATTTTCAAGTTTTTTTTTCTTGCAAGTCCATGATCTTTCTTGATAATATAACCTAGATTAGAGTGCACGCTTCATTTGTTTTATATGAAATTCTTTTTAATGATAAGTGACGTTGAGACTCAAACTTAAAATTTATATGTTCTATGCTATCATGTTAAATTATGTGCCTTATAACATGTATTCTATTAATTAAACCTCTAATGCTTTTTCTTTCTCGTTCTCTTTCTCGCTTTTCTACGACTATAATATATATCAACATTAACGAGAATTAACATCTTGCAATTAAACATGATTCATTGATTGTATAAGTTCTATTATATTATTATATCGGAGTATCGATTCAAATTTGAACAACACAATTCAAATTTAAGGACAATTTTATAAATATATCCCATTAACATTGACATTGACAACATTCACATATATAACTTATCAAAAAATATCAAAAGTGGAGTTTTATATAATATAAAGCTTGGTCCCTGTGCTAAAATTACAAAGTGGGAGCAAATATTATTGCACACCATATATTAAAATGTACAAGCCAAATATAACACTCCACAATATTTTTTTTTATTGTCAATTAACAAAACTAGTTAATCTTCATGATCTGTCACTCTTTAGTAAGCTTCATGCTCTCCCTGTTCAACATAAGTATATGTTATCAATAAATAAACTAAACAATTTGAATTATGAATAGTAGACTATATTAATTAATCACCTTACCGATAAAATTAGACAGTCGTTTAACATTTGCAATAATTTACAAAATTTTAAATTCATGAAAAAATTTCATTATTTTTTAAAGTATCAAATTAAAATCAGACAAACACTATAAATGGTTGATGAAGTTACCTTTTTGGGAGTGATGAAGTCCACAAATTTAGTCTTGGATTTGGCTTTAGGAGACTTGTTGTTATGTTGTGGTGATGATGATGATTCTCTATATCTCTTGATTATTTTTTCTCTTACAAATTTATCATATATAAATGCAGCTCCTCTGAATTGTGGAAAAACTAGCCATGCCACAAATATCAACTTCACATCATACCATATTGGTATCCTATAATATATTTCCAAATAACAAAAATAAAATAAAATGATGAATCACTTTTCTCAACCAAAAAAATTATTATTTTCTCCGTCTTAATTTATGTGATGATGTTTGACTTAGCATGAAGTTTAAGAAAGAAAGACAGATTATTGAAACTTTAAGAGTGTGTTTGGTAGGGGGAGGAAAACGTTTTTCGATTTTTCGATTTTTCAGTTTTCCTATGTTTGATTGGTCAAAAAACATATTCTTTAGGCAAACGAGTTTCTTAAAAATGAGGAAAATGAATTTGCTAATTAAAGTAGAAAAACAAATTCTATAAATAGTGATATTTCAAGTTTATTATCTTCTCCACACATACCCAACGCCCCCACCTCCCACCACCCCATCCTACCCCACAATATTTTGTTGGTCAAGCACTAAAAATAATTAAGAAATCTACTTGTTTTTCAAGATCATACACGTCCAACATAAGTCTACACCAAGTCATAAAGAAACAATTAGATGGTGGCTATAAATCATTTTATTAACAGTAAATTAAAAGTTTAAAGTTAAATTGACTCTAAATATAAATTATTAACTTTTCAAACTGACTAAAAAATAAGTATCACATAAATTGAGACGGGAGAACAATATTTAAATTTTATTTTTTTCATGAAGTTAAGAAGTTAATTACCATTCAAGAACATGTTGAAGGACCATCTCCATAAGAGTGAGAAAAGAATAAAAAATCCAATAAGCAAGCCATTGTTCATCATCCAATTTGTCACTAGTCTCAATTGCTACTACTGAAGCATACCTATTCAAATAAATTGAATCACCAAATTAAAAAAAAATCATCCTAAAAAAATAATTTATAAGGAAAAATAATAATTAATTCTTAGTATAAACATAATAATTTAAAACACTTACAAAGGATAGAGCAACATTGTCACTGGCCTGCAATATTTTGGTTAAAAAATTAAAACAAATCATAAAGAGATATCTCAAAATATTATAACTTAATGAAATAATTTATAAACACATAATTTTACAAAATTTCACAAATATATTCCTTTCTTAAAATTTATATCGAGTCTTATATAAATTGAGACGGAAAAATTACTTTCTAAACTCTATGCTGAATCAAACCATAGACATACTATTCTCATTTACTTGTCCATTTTCGCAAATTAAGAGATTTCCAAAATCATAACTAATAAGATTAATTTAGGAAAACAAAATCCTACTAAATACTTTTCCCTCTCTTTTTTAGTCTATTACAAAAAAGAACGATTCTTTCCTTTTTAAGCAACTCCTCAATTTCAAATTTTCACATAACATATTTCAAACATTTTAATACATTTGACATATCTTTTAATTTTAGACTAAAGATTCAAAAGTCATATTTACTTTCTTAAACTTCGTATTAAGTCAAAATAAACCAAACAAATTAAAACATCGTAAAAGCATATGATGTATGAAGTTTATATAGCAAATCATATAATTCAATAAATAAAAATAAAATTTACCCGGCTATAGTATGAAGATGACCAATCAAAGTCCAAAAATAACCCATAATTCTTCTTGATAACTCAAATTCTTCTGATCAAAATAAAAACCTTATAATACAATAAGAAGAAGAGAAAGAAAATGGAAAGCTTATAAGAAGAAGCAAGAAGATAGACAAAAATAGGATTACAATATATTGTCAATTAATTTAATTTAAAGAGACTATATTTGTGGACACAAAGTTTTATATTAAAAAAAAAATTAAAAAATTAGACACGTGTCAGTACCTAAGATGGTAGGTCGATATCAAGTTTTTACTTTATCGTAGTGTTTTAGGTTGGGCACCGGCCACATCGATATTTAATTGTATTAAAAGTAGCTACTTTATATTATCTAGAATTTTACTTTTTTCATTTTTCGAGAAAGACGTGATTGATATTTATATAAAGGTTCGATTAAAATTTTATATTAAGAGCATGATGCTTTTTAATAAAAGACGATGAAATACTATTTATCACTCTGCTTCGACTCGATGGTAGATCAATTTCTAAATATTGTTGTTGCCGTGAGACTTACGATAACTTGTATGTTGCCTCATAAATAATTGCAATTTGTGCTTTACTCTAAGGTCCCATAAAAAAGTTACACATGGTTATGATGAAGTCACATAGGGGGGCCAACCAAATATTTTAAGGGCAAGTTGGTCTTCTTTTTATTTTTTATTCGATAGAGATTTTAAGTTTTTAACTAATTTAACTTTATATTTTCTGCACGGAAGTATTTATAATAACATGTCAAGTATAATTTCACAAGTAAAATTTATTGAAATGAGTGACGAAATACCTAATAAAGAACAAGCTTGTGGGAGAACGGGAGATCATAAAACACATATCAATGTCGATTATACGAAAAGATATGTCATATAGGTTGATTCTAATTTTTGCTTTCTGTTGAATTTCTCTAAAAGAAAGGAGATAGAAAAAATAATCAAAATTTGAGTTTGAATCTTTGAGATTTAATTCATTTCTCAACTAATTTTGATCAAAGAAGATTTTGAATGAGTTGGACTTATTTTGAGCGGTTCGTCTGGACATAAAAATTGCGAAATTTGAAGAAAAGTAGAATTAGAGTGACTTTTGCATTTCCGTGAGTAATTTTGGAGTAAAAATTCCATTGGCCAAATACAAGCACATTCAATTCAACTTTAGATCAATCATCAATTCATCATCCACTTTTTATATCAATCTTAAAAATGAGATACAATATGTAAGTAGATTAATAAAACATACAAATACAGTAATCTACCAAGCTGCACTTAAAATGGCATATACATAATGCACCAAACAATTTAAGAAAAATGCACCACAAACCAATCAAAACATACACTAATGTCAAGTTAAATGTAGTTGTGAAGACAACAAGAACGCAAGTTGGCTTCTTTGGTGCTGACTGTTTTTTTGTTGCTTATAACCGTGGTGTCGAGGCCAGCATTTATGTTTCACTATCTTGTCCACATCCTTTTCTTGGCGTCTCTCTCTTTAACTGCCTGAACGGTGGTCTCTCTGCTCGTTTTGTTACGAATCAATGGCCTTTGAGCATTGGTGGCAGTTGTGGTAGTTGGCTTCATTCCTCTTGTAACTGGTCTAGGGGGATCAGATTGCCTGGTCCTTCTATCGTTAGCTGATATGGCAGGAGTAACGTTTTTCTCTACTTCACCATTTCTAGACAAGCGTTTTCTTCTGGCCTCTTGAAGGTAATCCTGTTCAGTCCTGTCATGTATCGAAGTTGGTAAAACACCGTTGTTCTCTGCTTCACTATTAGTTGACAAACGCTTTCGTCTAACTTGTTGGACGGTGTCCTTTCCCTTCAGCAAATTAGACCCCTGACTTGCCTGACGGTTGATAGCATTTGAGCTCTTCAAAATACGTTGCTCGATGTCACTTGTTAATTCGTCTCTGCTAGAACATTTGCTGCTTTCAAGTGGGCTTGATCTTGAAGACTTGGTGGCATCAGAATCTGCAACCATGCGTGCCAACTGTTGTTCTTGCTCCTTGATCTTGTCTTCAAGTTCCTTAATCTGGAAGTGTAAGAGTACATAACGTTTTTTTTCATTTCATCAAAGCTTTGCCAAGAGTATTATAGCGGAGAAATACAAGCAATCCCACAAGTGGGGTTTGGTGAGGGTAGTGTGTACGCAGACCTTACCCCTACCTTGGGAGGTAGAGAGGTTCTTTCCGATAGAACCTCGGCTTGTAGGGGGAGAAATCAAAGTCCATAATACACTTAAATTATGTTACATTTCACTCTTGAAATGTCAGTATTGCAGAAGATGAAAGCAACAAACCTTCTGACGGAGTAGAACGCACTCCTGTGCGTTCTGTTCTTTTGCTTTCAGCGTTTCCTCAAGCTCTTCAACCTGAAAAAAAACAAGAATTTTAGATTCTTGCTAATTTCTACGGGAACCTTCAAGTTGGTAATTGTTGAGAATACAATTGAATAATAAAAGTGTGCTCTCTCTAACAGGTTAAAAGTTTTTAGATGAGATGGTCACACATTTCAATAGTAATATGCTTGAAGAATAAGAACCTTATGTTGAAGGATGTCAGACTGAGACACAAACTCTTGCTCTTGCTCTTTTAGCTTGTCCTCGAGATCCTTGACCTGATTTTATGTGCATATAACAAATAAACTTGTGAATATCCAATGTGCCTGTTGAGAATTCTCTATACTGAAACAGACAATGGAAAGAACCTTATTGTTGAAGCTTTCAGACTCAAATTGCTGCTGCTGTCTCATCTTGTTCTCTAGCTCTGAGATCTTTAATCAATACAAAAGTGAAATCAGAACGATAAGCAAAACATTAGGATATTAACAATAGATCATAGAACAAAGCTCAATCAACATCTGTAACTAAGCTGAATTTGATTTTGATTAAAGGGAACCTTCTGTTGAAGAGTAGCACAAGTTTCTTCACGTCCCTTCAACCTCTCTGAAAGCTGTGAAAGTTGTTTTTCCGATTGGCTATGTAATGATGTCTTTAAATTGAGCTGGCTTTCCAGTTCCTTAATCTTATCCTGTTGAGTTTTGTTAACTTGTTCCTTCCCTTTAGCCTTACTCTCTAAGTTCTGTAGGCTTTCCTCAAGTTTCTTCAAGGATTCATCTTTAGATTTAGTTTCCTGCTTCGCCTTGTCAAGCTGCCAACCAAAAAAGGAGATGAGGATTATTGTAACTGGTTGAGTAGAATTCTGTACAAAGAATGCTCATAGGCATATGAACAAAAAACAACACTAGGAAAACATTCTACAAACCATGGTTTTCAACTTTTGGATCTCGCCGGTATCAACTTGTTTTCTTACAGGACCTAACTCAACTCCTCTAACTCTTGTAGCAAAGTTCAATGAACTTATAGTTTCACTTAAGTCCTTATCAGACGGGCTGATCTGTACAAACATCAATGCTTTTGAATCCCCACCTGCAGGGAAGATGGTGAACTTTGAAAATCAGGAATCTTACAGCTTTGAACACTATGGTGTTTTTGGAAACCAGACTTCGAACTATTTGATTACCTAATGAATCTTGGAGTAGATGTGTCAACTTGGAGTTTCTGGTGAAAAAGATAAAATGTCAGGATGCATATTCAATGACCCAACGGAAACCTACATACAGCCAAGATCACATTGTTACCTGTATGGAATATGACTGCTTCTATTTGCTAAAGCTGATATCACATCTCCTAGAGCGGAAAGTGACCTATTGATATTTTGAGCTTCCTTCAGTCTCTCACCTTGGACATCAGTCTTTGCAAGCCTCTCACTACCAGCTAAATCCACAAGCCAAAGCTTGCTCTTTGTGCATTCACCGTCGATCAAGTTCTTGGCTGTTACCATAATACAAAGCATGCTGAAAAAAAGTGGACAAGATTAACCAAAAAAAATTAGTCAGTTGGTAAAAGCAAATCAGTGAAAATGCAATAAGAGGCCAATTAGAAACTCAATCTATCTTACCAGTGAGAACGGCTACTGTGCTCATTCACATTGTTGGATCCAACAGCCCGTGCACTACTTCCAGTCTGCAGCACATTCCAGACTTCTTCTATATTTTCTACTTTGGCTTCCACAAGTCCTGGAATGTGATGAAGCCCTTCCGGAGCTTGTTTTATCTCCAACCTAAAATGATTCCACAAAATAAAAGTTGAATTAATTAGAGAGAGCAGAAATTTTATTGTGTCAAGCATAACAACATTTCATTTATAGCACATAAGCTACAGGCTCCTATATAATAAAAGAACTTTACTTTTTTGATGTTGTCGGTGGAGCTAATAGGTCCCTGATCTGTTCATTGTAGACTTCAAGCACACTGACTGATATGTCATAGGTGAAAGTTTCATTCCTCTCCTTCGCAATTTTAAACAATTCTTCAAGAGTCCGATAGTTGACTCCTCTGTTTCCTTTTGTACCCTCCATGGTGAACGTTTTGCCCGTTCCCGTTTGTCCATAAGCAAAGATACATACGTTGTAACCATCTAAAACTGAAATGACCATTGGTGAAGCATCGGCATAGACATCACCTGTTAAAAAGACAATGATACTATTAGAAGGAGAACACCTTTTCTACTATTTGTTCTTCTCAATCTTGTATAGGGGAACACCTTGATCATCTCTGGGTGTGTAGACACGGTCAAATTTAAATGTCTTTTTCGTGGAGCTGCCATTTAAGATTCCAAGTTCTCCATCCTTGGCGACATCAAAGTCTATGACCGTTGAGCATCCATCTGAGACTTCAGCTTTGCTTAATGGACGGCAGCGGCAAAATACTCTGATATTCCCTGGAAAAGGTGGCTTACCGTGAGTAAGTTAACAAAAAGGAAGTATGATTCTATTTACTTCCATCGATGATTCAATGAAATGTTTAATGGAAAAAACATTGCACCTTTTGCCTCTTGAACTTCATTGAAGAGCTTTCTTCTCTTAGCTTGCTCGTCGTTGTACTTCATCTTAAGATCTTCATATTGCTCAACTGCAGATCATAAAAAGTGATTCGTTCAGTTCGTGATCAGTGTCAAGTTATGCGATTTAAGAATAATCCAAAACTAACCCAGTGACTGAACTGCCGAGACCATTTTATTCAGATCAGGGATTGAATCTGTACACTCGTGCGCATCGCGAGAGAGCTGGGAGTGCTCCTGCTTCATTATCTGCATGATTTCTTCCAGAATATTAAATATGCATTTACTTTGAGAATACATTGATAAACTCTAAGAAATTACAAAGTTATCACTGTATTTTCATGATGAATTTCGGAAGTACCTTTACTTTCATCTCGAGATCATTGATCGCCATGTGCCAATAGTTCTTGTCGCGCTCGTACTTGGTTGAGATTTCTGTAATAGTCTTAGCTTGCTCCTCGAATTTCTGATCTGTTAAAGGTTAACATTGCTTAAAATTATTCTTCAAAAACTAAAGATAATGTCATAGACTCACCAATAAAGTAAAGAATAGCTCCCCCTAACCACCTATAACTGGACTCTGTGCACTAAAATCGGATAGCAAACTCAAATTAGTAGTTTCTCCATTATCACATCTATGGAAATTGGCATGCAAAAGGCCTTTTGTACTTCCATTTTCTACCATCACTAGTTAACGTTGAAGGTTACCTTGAACTTCACTCATTCTTTGGTACAAAGAGAAGGTAGGAATGATTCTTTAAGATTCTATAACACACCAAACAGGAAATCTAACTAAGAAGTATTAAAGACCAGATATATGTAAAATGAGAAATGATCTTAATGTAGGAAGTAGACGTGGCTAGACAAAACTACTCTTTCTGGAAGGCTATAAAATAAAGGCCATTTATATTGACATTTAAAGAATGTTTTGTTCCACCACTTCAAACGGCAGCATAAATATTCTGGTAATATTTTCAAGATCTACAAGAGAAGCCTTGAAATGGTTCTCAGAAATAGATGTTATTTTCATATCTCTTACCAAGTGAGTAGGTATGAAATGTCTTATTGTCCAGCTCCATCCTAACCTTCTCTAGTTGCTGGTTAGCTGCAGTATAAGACATCCAAGATTGATAACATTCATCTGTCTTGCGCTTCAACAATTCACCAAGCTCCTGTATCTTATTCTCATACTTGGCTGTTGACTGCAATCGTGCCACTTTTTTCTGCATTTATCCAAGCGATCAAGAAATAGACATTAAAATTTCATTAGTCTTAGGATGTGTATGGTATGGAGGAAAATAATTTATGGAAAATGTTTTCCATACCAAAACACATCCTTACTGGTGAAGGTTTTCAGCACCTATTATGTCATACCTGTGCTGATGGAAAATCTATCTCGGTTGCACAGTTTTTGCATGTAAGACGATCATGTTCTGCTTGAGAAGCTGCAGTTCAGTCAAAGATAGCTACATAAATTAGTTCTTCCTCAACCCTTCTAATCCCACTCAACAAAATACTCAAATAGTTAGAGGCAAATAGGAAAAATACCTGATGCTTTTGGAGCTTTTCTTATGCAAATTCCACTAACCACGGGACTGCCAATAATTCCTTCAAATTTTATCAAAAGTATCCCATTCTCTTTGATGGAAACCCTTGAGTCAACAAATTGTAGCGGTTTATTGGCTCCAACAACAGAGAAGATGTCAAAATCAGACAGAACCTGCATATTGTTACAACTTCTCAATTCCAAATTTCAACATATAAGCACCAAAAGCTAACTCTTTTAATGCTCAAATCAACTTACCTTCTCATCTTGTAGAAAGACATTGAACACTCGCATTCCTTTAGGCCCATTTACATTTATTATCTCGACAAAATGAAGATCAATAAAGTAATTTCCTGGTGTAAGATTGTCAATCTGATAACAGAAGTTTCCTAATCTTGCTGACTGGTAAATGAAAGCATGTTCACCTCCCTCTGTAATGAACTCCTCCGTTTGAAATGGTTCTCCACCTTGGTAAAAATTATCAGCCAGAAAGCTCAGACTGGAATCCAACTCCACTGACGTCTCCGATCCAGCATTAACAAAAAGCACAAGGTCCTCTAATTTCAACAAACCATGTAAACATATATGAGTCTAACTAAAGTAGCCTCAAAAGATAAAAGGTGAAGAGAAGAGAAGGACTAAGAGGATAAAACAATGTGAATAATACATGGAATTATTTCATAACAATATATAATATCCCCTTTGGTTTGTTTTCTGAAACATACAGATGATTAACCTATATCGAGTCATAATCCCAACATCATATAGAAAATTCAGTTTCCTTCTGAAGAATAGGTTTCATCCAACAAAGGAGCAAAATTTATCTTTTTTTCCACATTCTTACAAAAACAACATATCCAATGTAATTCCACAAGTGAGGTTTGGGAAGGGTAGATTTCACGCACACCTTACACCTCTACCTTGGGAGGTATAGAGGGGGTTTTTGATAGACCCTCAGCTTTGGAAAAGCATATCAAAACAAATCGAAAAAGAAATAACAGAAGAAAAGAGATCATGGTAAAATACTAAGCATGACAAAGCATTCTAAAAAAGGAACAGTAACTACAACAAAATAGTGCTACAATAAATGAACTTATCAGTCATAGATTTGTAATTTGGACCTGCAGTTTTGAGGTCCAAATCAACAAATTAGGTAAATGTTATCTGTATAAAACCTTATACGATATGGAAAAGTTCATTTTTCAGCAAAAGTTTAGTGTATTTCATCCCTGGACCAAGTACTGATACTCATCTCACAACAATTCAGAAATGGTACAACAACAACAACAACATACTCACTGTAATCCCACGAGTGGGATCTGAGGAGGATGGTGTGTACGCAGACCTTACCCCTAGTGTTTCCTACACCCTCCACTCAAGTAAAGCAATTCAGAAATGTTACTTTAAAAAAAAAACAGTCTTTAGCATATAGATATTAAATTACAAGTCTATTTAACAAAAAAATGAACTCAAAATCTCCACTTTCCTGTGAAACAAGTAATTTTACATATAGGAAGATCCCATTATACAAACAATTAAGAAAATCGAAGAGATTAATGATTTTTTCGAACCTGTACAGCTGGATCTAGTAAACCCACTTGGGATTAGTCTTGAACCTGAGTCACAGACCATCGAATCGGCTAAAAATTGAAAATTTTCATCTTGGTCAATGGCAGAAACTGCAGTTTCTTGATGCAAGGGTTTTTCTTCCCATTCAAAATTACTGGGTAAATCTGGAAAAGGGGTTTCTGGGTTTTGCTCAAAAGGGTTAAATTGAATGTCATCCATGAGAGAAAATTGTAAAGGGTGTCTGAAAAACCGAAAATCTTGAAAAAACAACAACTTAAAAGGTCTCTTCAATGGCGGAAATGTTTGATTCAAAATTTCAATCTTGTGACCGTTCAAAAAAGGAGAAGAAGATGATTACCGTTACTTTTGAAGTTGTTGGGTCAATTTTGGGCCTATCTGAATTGGGCCGGGTAAGTCAAGTGATTTGATTTTGGGCTTGAATGTTGTAACAACGCCGGTTTGACATCAACTATACGGTAGGTACGTGTATTTTGACCTCGACTAATCCGGTTTTACATTACGTAAGATTCAATAAAGTGAAAAATGTTTCCGCTAAGGTTTTTTATTGTTCTTGAGGCTTGAACTTGAAACATTTGATTAGAGTGAAGGAATTCTATTCTTATGAAGCTAATGTCACTAGTAAATTGGATCAATTTGTCAAATTTTTATGGAGTTATAATCATATTTTCTATTTCAAACTTTTTATGTTTGGGAACTTTATGAAAATATTAGATTTGATTAAGTATTGTAATTTTTTGGGATTTAATCTAAAACAAAATCATACCAAGATTTTGTTGGATGATTTTGTTTGACCAAGATTGAATGTTATTTAGAAGTCATACATAATTTTTTTGGTAATAGCTCTAAAATTATATTGATATGGCATTTCATACCATGAAACTATCAATCTTCAAGATATTGCGTATAAAGAGAAAGATAGCTAGTCTTTTTGGGCGACCGAGAGTAATATGTAGAAAGGATCAAGGAGAATCCTATCCTAAAGGAAAAGGAGGAGGAGATAGCTTTTGGGGCAAAATCGAATAGTAACGAGATAAATAATGAGACAAAGGAGAGTACTTAGACGAGTTAGCCAAATAACAAAGAATATGTACACAAAAAGAATACCTAGGAGGCTAGGACTAAAAAGATCACCTTCTAGGTAGCTATTGTCATTATCATCAACCACAATCATTGTCATTGTCAATCACTATAAGTTGTTACTACTATCTCTAATCACCATTTACGATCATAATCATTAATCACTTTTGATAATCACTATGTTATTTATAGTCTAATCACCATTAATATTAATCACTATCATCAACTGTCACTATCATCCACCACAATTGTCAACTTACTATCGATGATGGTCATCAATATCTACTGCCAATAACCACTTCCAATATCATCCCAATGGACATTCACAACCACCATTAAAAAAGTATAATATTTCATTGATATATGATATCACAATACTTTAATATTTATTAGTTTTTAAATAAAGGAAAAATGTACACATTTATGTGTTAAAAAAACAAACCGTCATAATTATTCGGCATTTAAATATTAATATTATAATATAAAACATTTTAATCTCAATGAAAATAAATAAGTCGTTTGAAATTCAATTAAAGAGATTATTTCATTTATATATAAAAAAAATAGAAAAAAGGTTAAAACATAAAAAGCAGGCAAAGTGTTTGACATAATGCTCCAATGGCAGAACAAGAAATGAACAGAAGACCATCGCCAGACCCAGTCTCAGTGCTACGAGGTCACCGCGCTTCGGTAGCTGACATTTGTTTTCATCCTTCTAAAAACCATATTGTTTTCTGGGTATGAACGAACTTCTCCAGTTATTTATGACATTTTAAGCTCACGTTTGATCATAGATTTTGAAGTCGAAACTTGAAAAATTGAGTTACTGAAGTTGTAACTTTTGAAATTTAAAACGTTGTGCTCGAATATGCGTTATAATTGGAAAAAGATTGGAACGTTGTGAGTGGAAGTCCCAAAATCCCAAAACTGGTCTGAGCTCCGGCTCCGGTTTTGATCATAGATTTTGAAGTTGAAACTTGAAAAATTGAATTTTTGAAGTTGTAATTGTTGGAAATTTTGAAGTTATGTTTGGACATGCATTTTACTCGGAAAAAGATTGAAGCTTTGTGTGTGAAAGTCTCAAAAGCCAGTTTTTGGGAAGCATGTGATCAAATTTCATGGTCAAACAGATATTAAGTTGACGTAGGGCATACTGATTGGGTACATATAATATGGTTATATTGCAGGTCAACAGATGGAGAATTGCGGATTTGGGACACAGTACAGCACCGTACAGTTTCTTCTTCTTGGTATAATTTATAATAGTTTCTTGTGCTTAGATTATACTACTTGATTTTTGATATGCTTACTCGAGCTGAGGGTTTATCGGAAACAGCCTCTTCTTGGTACACCTAAACCCCACTTATGGGATTATACTAGTTATGTTGTTGTTGCTGGTTCTTGTACTTCGATTATCGTAGTTATTGTCAGAATGCTTTATTATGCTTTTACTTCCGTTTGTTCTTTTTCTGAACTGCTTTGGACTGTTTTTCCTTGAGCCGAGGTCTATCAGAAACAAACTCTCTACCTCTGAAGTAGGGGTCAGGTCTGTGTACACTTTATCCTCCCTAGACCCCACTTTGTAAGACTACACTGGGAATGTTGTTGTTGTTGGTATGATTTATAATATTTTGGCTGGCTCCCCATGTTCATCATGTAGTTTGAACATCTTCTTAATTAGTCCCCTGGACTAGTTTGGGATAAGTATAGTAACTGTTGTATTATAAATTTTTTGCAACCCCAACTTTTGGCATATTTATTGTTTCTTAGCAGACCTCAACTAGTTTGGGATTTGAGAGATAGCTGTTGTTGCATTACAAGCTTCTCTATAACTAATTTGGGATTGAGGGTACTTGTTGTATGCTGAACTTCTTCTTGGATCCTAACACAGTTGGGGTTTAATAATTGATCACTGCTAACTGCAGGGTGCATAGTGCAGCACATGGGGTAATTTGTGTTGCAGCGAGTCCTGTTCTAGGGGATAACAAAGTTATCAGGTGCCTCTGTCTCTATCTTTATAATCGCTGTTAATTTGTTTGATATTTCAGTCAGTAGTAGTATTGTCACACCTTTGAGTTTGAAATGAAGATGTTTTAGTGCCATCTGCTATTACAGATAGTTGGGTTAATTTTGTTTAAGGTTTGCCTTCTGTAATTTCCACAGCCAAGGCAGGGATGGTAGCGTCAAATGTTGGGAGTTTGGAGAAGGAGGTTTGTCCAGGTATTCAGGTCTATATGTTTTAAATTATACCTTAGTATTGATATCATGTTGGATTTCATTTATGCTTGTTACTTTACAGGGATTGTGTCTTGCTTCATTTGTTTTTGCACATTGTGTGATGGAATTCTGTGGGATGCTTAAATGAACCAGTTATTTGGTGTGATAATGCATGGCAGCTTATTTGTCCCCCTGGATTCTTGGTTCAAAGTTGATCACAAGCCTTTTACTATCATCACTTCTTAGTGCAATGTGCCTTTCTTTTTTCTTGTACGTTAAAGCAATATGCCTTCCTTCTGGGTGTTTGGAGAAAATATATGGACTCACAAACTTGGTCACAAATCCTACATTTTCTGCAGTATGATCTTATTTAATTTATAGAAAGTTATGCAGAGATTGGTATATGAGTGGTATCAAGAAACTAAACCCTCGAGAATATTGGACCTTCTACCTCTGATTATAGCAAAGTTGATTTAAAAACCAGAAAATGTCTTGTGATCTGAAAGAAAAAGTCACGGTACAACAAGATGTTATGGGTAGTGGACTTGAAGAAAGACTAGTCAAGTCACCTTTGCTCTTTAGTGAGTTTAGACTTGTTCTCCCCCTTGGGGCTGAGCATGTGAAAGTTTGGGCAGTACCACCCCCTACAACTTCTGTTTGAAATTTTATCTACAGAAATATCTAACATTCTTTGAAACTTGATGGATGAATAGAAATAAATGGAATTGTAATCTCACAGTATCAACAGAAACAGTTTCGCAATGCATAACTTATAATCAATATCAATCAGCAGGAAATACAAGAAGCCAAGAACAACTGCAAAACTTCCCAAAATTTGGCAACTAGATCATTATGCCTATATGATTAGTGTACATGCAAACTAAGAGATTTAGAGTTCTATATATGTTGTGAGGCAACCATGGTCAGCTTCTTCTTTGTTTCTTGTCGGGGGGGAAGGGGGGGGGGGGGCAGTTCTTCTTCCTTTTTTGTATTTTGTCTTTTTAAGTCCAATATCTTTTCACTTATTCTATTTTTTGTGAAGTTAGACTTAAATGTGGCTAGTGCTGCAGGTTTCAAAGTTTTCTAGGCCTTCATATTGTATGAGAACTGATGCATTGCATTTTGGAGCTCAAAAATCTTTTTCAGCACTATGTATGCTATGTATATGTGTGATCTCTCTTAACTCATTTCATGATAACGGCAGTCAAATCATAATTACAATTGCATTATAAGGAATGGGTTCTAAGGGCAGTGGATCTTGTTTATCAACTTTTCTGGACTAATATTTGCAACATTATCTTTTTGATAGTCATTCCTTTACTTTCTTTTACAAGTTTTCTTACAATTTGCTGGCATGTTAGTTCGACTTTCGTTACCCTTTGGTGGTGTTCAATCTTCATTTACCTTATGATTAGGAATGTGATTTGTGCTTTCAACAGGACACCGTTACTTACAATAAAGACAAACGCTTATCATTTCTGCAAACTATCAATTGCAAAGTCACCAAGTGAGGCATTGGAGACTGATGATCTGGAGATAAACAAAATTGTTGATGACATGCAAAGGGGAGAACAAGGAGATCAACCCACTGATTCCACCATATCCAAAGGTTTTCTATCTCGTTCTTGCCTTTTCTTCACTTTTCAGTTCATCTCTTTTAATTAAGCGCAGTCCATTACTTCTTAAATTTGACTTATTTGAGTTTGAATGTGCACTCACCTAGATTACTACAGATTTTAAAATTTTTGGTCAACTGAATGATATATTAAAGGGCTATTCAAATTGACTTCAATATCTCTCAATATAGGTTTTATTTAAACCTAAAGAAAAATATCAGATCCATGTCAACTGTTTTGCATTTTATATTAATATTATAGCATCCACATCTTATTTGAATATGTTGGAGTTTGAATAATGAGAACAAACTGAATACAGCCTTGGTGCAAATTGCAGAAATTGATCATCTTTACCTTGGAAGAATTGTCTGTCAGGTTTCGGGTATGATTTACATATTATTAGTGAAAGTTCCAAGTCAATTTTGAAAGCCATGGCTCCTCTGCTTAAGGAATAGACTAATACTTTCTTCTGTAAAATGTGCTAATTACCACTGTCATATTTCTCTAAACAATTTTTTTTTAAAAAATATCCTCAAAAGTTTATTATAAGATCTCATCCAATTTGAAGTAATCTTAGGTCTGATAGTTGCAGGCAGATACAATACCATATTATTCAGTCTCAACATGTTATAAATAAGATCAAGACTTAATATCAAGAAATGGAATCATGTACTCGAGAAAATCAGTTTGTTGTGGTTTTTGTTGTGTATAAAGACTTGATGCTGAGTGTTTTTTATACGTTGCTTGGAATTTTGATGCTATTCGGTTCCTATATATTGCTGTGGTTCTCAAGTAAAGTATGCTTCTTTGTGTACCTGGATATTGATTGGTTGTGTTCATTGCTTTAATAGTATTTTGAGTCATAAGACTGTTTAACATATTGAAGTTTTCAGGTAAGGAGCTTAGTGAAGGACCAAAATATGTTGCTATAGCAGGGGAACAATCTTCTGTGGTTGGTTGATGGTTATTTCTGATACATTATCTTTTATTTTGAGTTTGTCGTATGGAATTTACTGAACACTAACCAATCCGTGTGCAAAGGTTGAGATTTGGGATGTCAATACTGCAGAAAGAATTGCAGAGCTGCCTCATAGCTCTGGTAGCCTCTCAAATCAGACTCCGAACCAAAGAGGTCTGTTTTTTTTCTCTTTTCGAGTTTTCTTCCCCTAGCTTGTAGCACATACTTTGGTATCTGCATCTAAAATTTTGTCATCTGCTTGGGTTTCTCTCTCTCTCAGGATACTCACTGTTGTTTCTCCTTTTAATTTGATTTAAAATTTCTGTTTGCATTTTCTCATAAAGTACATAACCCCAGGGATGTGCATGGCAGTTCAAGCGTTCTTACCTTCTGAATCTCAGGGGCACCTAAGTGTTATGGCAGGGTTTGTCCTCATATCTCCAATAGTAATCCAATTTATATTTTCTTTTAATGTGTCTTTATATTCATATTCATATGTCCATGCTTCCTTGTATACGTTTATTTGCATTTGTGTGTGTATAAGGAGTAATTTTCAACATTGTCGAAATTCCCTGAATGTTTACTTCCTCTAGATATAACTGCAGAAAAGATTTCTAAAGTACAGTAGAGCATTTTAAATTTTGTGTCTTGGGGCGTCCGTTACCACATTGTATACCACCAACGTTCAATCTAGGATTCTTTCTTCGATAGAATTTCTGTTAAAAAATGATTTACGTGTATTTAATCAATTGATGCTTGACTTAACAAACTAGATTCAAATACATATGCCTACAGGTATGAGGATGGATCCATTGCTTGGTGGGACTTGCGTAATCCCGGAGTCCCATTGACTTCAGTCAAGCTTCATTCAGAACCAGGCACACTATTCTACCATACATAAAATGCTTCATAATGAACCTTTTCTAGTTCTATTTTCATACTTACAACAGGCATAAAAGTCATCTTGTCTTCTCCCTGCAGTTTTAAGCTTATGCATAGATGGAGAATGCAAAGGTGGTCTCTCTGGAGCTGCTGATGAGAAAATTTTGATGTTTGCATTGGACCATTCTATGGTAACTCCAACGTAATCTCAAATTGCAAGATATGCTATTGTTGGATGGTGCTGTTGATGTGTATATATATTTCACGTTAACTCCTCTTATAGCAAGAAACTATTACTAAATGTCTTGGTTGATGACTGATTTGAAATGTGCATGCCTTAATGCTGTGAGGAAAATTTGGTTCTGATGTTTGAACCTCATTATCCACATGCATTGACAAGTTGGTCATCTTTTGTGATATTTTGTTTAATCTGTGAATATGTGTAGTTTTCTGTTGCAGCAATACACTCTCAAACCAATGAAAAACATTGTCCACACTTGAGTAAATATACTTCTGCAGATTGCAGCTATTAATAGTTATTAGTTGTGGAACTTGCAACTAGTGGCATTATTTATTTGCAGGTCTATTATCTGGTAAACGTAATTTTCCTACTTTTTTCTGTAAACTAGGGTTCTTGTTTGATAAGAAAAGAAATTGTATTGGAGAGACCTGGCATCTCTGGAACCTCAATCCGTCCAGATGGAAAAATCGCTGCAACTGCTGGTTGGGATCAACGGTAGGGATCTTAGAGACTTTTAAACTGTCAATTTGTGTACATTGTGGCTACTTAGGGTGTAGTTGCACACCCTTTGTCAATGAGAGAAACATTTTTTAACATGTAGGTCATGTTTTCAATTGTCACTCTAACATTAGCCCTTCCACTTATCTTTCGTTGTCAGGGTTAGGATTTACAATTATCGCAAAGGAAAGCCTCTGGCTATTTTGAAATATCATAACGCCACGGTATGCAATTCCCTTTTTCTTTCTGTTGACTGTTGTTTTCCCTTAAACAATTGTCAAACTGACTTCATACCATTTTCATGTCCTCTCTCACAATATGTTTCTGCAGTGCAACGCCGTTTCATTCTCTGCTGATAACAAATTATTGGCCTCTGCATCTGAAGATACAACAGTGGCTCTCTGGGAACTTTATCCTCCTAGAACATGACATTGTATCGTTGTTAAACCCCGTGGATTGTTTGTAATGAAGGGGTTAATGTCTGAAGTTTTACAGTGCGGAGAAGTTATCCCCAGATGAGCATATGGAGTTTGCTGGAAGATATTACTGATCATCAGAAAGAGAAGAGGACTTTAAGCTATTTTTGGGAAATACACTTTGTTCCGGCCTTTCCCCAGACCCTGCATATAGCGAGAGCTTAGTGCATTGAACTATCTCGCTTTTCAAGTTGTTAGAAAGAAACATAGTTGTGAAAGTAATAAAAAAGAACTCTACTTGTAACCCTTAAACAAGAAGAATTGTTATATCAAGCTCTTCATTTACATTTTTCTGCCATTTTTTGAGTTAATACCTCAAAATTCTCCTAAACTATCAAGGCTTTTATTAAGTTTAATATTTAAATTATGGAGTATTGTTATTATTCATGAACTATTAACATTTTCCATCTAAAAACTCTTGTAATGCAATGTTCCATAAATTACAACACCTTATTAAAAACGAATAATTTAAGAGCAATTTCGACTATATTCTAAATATTTCATTAATTACAAATAAAAAAATAAAAACTAGTGAAGATTTGTGTTATCTACAAAAATTATCTTTGTTCAATCTATAGTTTACAGAGTGGAGTCACGGAAGCATCCATTAATACTCGTAGTATTATTAGAGCAGACTTTCTACGTCACCACCTCGGAGTTTTGGACCAAAAAAAATAATATGAAAAAAAGGAACATCCTTTTAGATATTGTGAGAGGGGTACCCATGAAGAACTGAAAATCAAGAATTCAAATTTCCATTAACAATGAACAGTTGTTGGATTTCTCCTTCCTATTTCCCACAAATTAAAGCTTCAATTTTGGAACCCAAAACCAAAATTCAACCAATTAGCTCAAAACCAGATTTCTCAACTGAAAAAATTGAATCTTTTTTGCCCTTTAATGTGAAATCCATCACTAGTACTTCAAACCCTTTTGTCAAACACTGCCTTAAGCTTCGCCAGAACTCCTCTTATCGCCATTCTCATGGTTCTGTACTTGTTGTCGGTTCTACCCCTATTAGGTAACTTTCTTTTCCTCCTAGTATTTTACTTTTTCTGGTGGGTGGTGGGGGTGGGGGTGGGGGGAGGGGGAGGGGCGGAAGCCGAACCCCTCTGCGGGATTATATTGTTAAAATTACTTTTTACTTTTTCCGTGTGCTTTATGGTATAATTTAGCCATTTCATGTTCTTAACTTGATGGCTGTAGTCTTTGTTGGTTGTGGTTAGCTTAATAGTTTAGTTTGAGCCTCACATTTTAATGCCAAATTGTTAGATTTTGAAGCCATTTGGCTTAATGTTGAGTTACAACTTAGAAGATTATTCCATTCCCCTTTGGGATATTCACACGCGGAATTCTTGCAAATTGAAGGAGTGCAGTGTAGATTGTACTTAGTTCCGTAGGGGATATTTGACACGTAGCATGATCTCAAAATACTTGAGCAAGTAATAGAACAGATGATTGAAATGAGTGGTGATGTAGCAAGAAAAGACGGAGTAATTGATCTTAAAATACTTAACTTTTTGGGAGAAATCATGATTTACATTGTGCTTTGCATGTTTCCAATTGAATGCCTATAATGGACTAAATATCAACGGGAGAAATCAGAGGACGTGGACAGCATTGAATCTTGAAGGGACAACTTCATACGTGTACATTTGGAATGGTCTAAGCTCTGTTGTTTTAGTTTAACAAGTTCATTTTCATCTTTTATGATCTATAGATGTGGTGATTTTCTGCTGAGTATTTTCTTCCGAGCTATGTCCTTTCTTATGCACTCCCTTATGAACTGTTGGTTTGTTATTTTTTGCACTTGTTCATATTCTTTACTCATTCTTCCTTGAGGGCTTGAGGAGGGGTAAAGGTAGGCCTAAGAAGTATGTAGGCAAGACATAGCGCAGCTTCAACTCACCGAGGATATGATCTTTGATAAGAGGGTGTGGAGATTGAGCATTATGATAGAAGGTTAGTAGGTAGTTGAGTGCTTTGCTTTCCCATTCCCGGCATATTAGTATTACTCTCCATTATTGTATTTTCTTCTTGTTGTTCCTATTTGCTGCTACTGTCGTCTTTTTCATCTGTTTTGAGCCTAGGGTCTATCGAAACCAACCTATCTTGCTTTTCAAGGTAGGGATAGGTCAGCGTACACAGACCCTCCCTAGACCCCACTTTTGGGATTATACAATTCTTTTGGTTTGTCATTTGACGATTTGATCTTTGATGAGGTAAACATCTTCCCGTAAAAGTTTGACCTATTTAACCGATCTATGTGACCTTTCTCAGGGAAATATATAGTTTTCAAGAAAGAGTACCAGAGAGGCCTATTACATTAGACTGCCTACTCGTGCTTGATGAAGCTCATATACATGATGACCTAAATCTTCAATCAGTTCGCCTTGTCCGCATCAGCTCAATGGTGATGAAGAAACTCTCTGGTTTACAGTCGATTGATTCTATTGAAATGATTGCGTTAATGAAAATTCCCTCAACATTTCACAGTGTTGATGATGAATTCCTAGAAGAAGATTGCAGTACATGGTTCAAGAATGCTCATCGAGTTCTAGTTCTTGATGGAATCCAGGTAATTTACTTAGACCACATAAGAAAAATAATTTTGAAATTCATAAATTGTGCTAAAGAATCATATCGGAATCATTGAATTCATGACTACTGGCTGATGCAGGATCCTGGTAATCTTGGCACATTACTTAGATCGGCGATGGCATTTGGATGGGTAGGAGATGGTTTTAATTTTGATTTTCGTTGATGTTATCATTTATTTCTCAGCTATACTCTCATTGGTCAGTGCTTTCTAGTTTCTAGTACAGCGTCTATAGTTCTTTGGTTCGTTCATGTTCTCATTGTGGTTACTGCTTTTTCGTATGGCATAATACATAAACAGACACTCAAACACCATCTCAGATGAGAAGTAGACGCTTCAACTTTGAGTATGCACATCTAAACATCTCAACTCATCTCCACTATGTCAATTGAACATGTCACCATAACTGCCATGTTTTCTTTGAAACCGACTTTGCATGTTATGTTATATTGTATGTTTTCTATAACAACATTTAGCTATATCAGCCAAAAAGTATACTGACAAGCAAGGTTGTTATAAAGATGTTGGACTGTAATATGCTAAAACAAATCTTTTGGCAGGGTGGTGCCTTTCTGCTTCCTGGCTGTTGTGATCCATTCAACGAGAAGGCGCTTAGAGCTAGTCGAGGAGCTTCCTTTCAACTCCCATTAGTCTCCGGCGATTGGCTCCACTTGGATGCTCTTAGAAACCATTATAACATGAAAATTCTGGCCGCTCATCCTGCAAACGATCAAAAGCCAAGGAGAATTTCCAGGCTCACCCGCGACTTTACAGATTCGTTAGCAGATAAGCCTCTGTGTTTGGTTTTGGGCAGCGAAGGAGGTGGCCTTTCCGAGAGAGCCAAGGATTCAAGTGAGCTTGTGAGTATTCCGATGACCGGAGAATTCGAGTCTCTTAACGTTTCAGTTGCTGGTGGAATATTGTTGTACATGTTACAACCTGAAAATCATAAAGATTTAAGCTCTGGTTGAAGCATTCTCATCTTATTTCAAGCAGCTAAGGATTTTGAAGAAAGTGAAAAAATGACTATTTTCCAACTTTATCAGTCTAATGACTAGATAGTACAACTTAACCTCGGTATGAAATCACCTTTGTTAAAGAGTATTTTATTCTTCAATATGATCTGACACCAGACCGGGTGGGAAACTAAAAATAAATTTGTCTTTAACTTAAAGTGAAATAATAAAACTTCAGCAGCTACCATCAAAGGATGTGGTGCAGTAGATGATGTTATTTTCTTTTTAATCAGAATTTTCAGGTTCAAGCTTTGAATATGAAAAAATCATCATTGATAGGAAGTGCTTCCCACCGAACAGAATCCTACGCAGCACGAAAAATCGTTTTAGATTATATCGAACTAAATCAAATCAAATCGAATTAGTTTATTTTGGTGTTCGATGCACACTTTTTAAAAATAAAAAAATTAAAGAATCGAATTGAAGTTTGATAAAATCAAATTGTTAAATTAAGGAGTGGGTTGAATTCGATATTTAAAATTAGAGACAGATTATTTGATTATGAAATCGACATGTGTTCTATTTAAATTAAAGGCAAATTAGTGTTAAAATATAATGATAAGGATATAATTGAACCGATAGTCAAATGAAGGGTAGTATTTATAATTGTTTCAAATACTATAAGGGCATATTTGACTATCTTTCATTTTTAAATATACAACAATTAACAAATATTGTTTCCCCCATCGAAAGATAATTTATTTTTTTCATAAAAAATAAAAGTTAAACTGACTAAAAAGTAAGGGTTGATAATATTTTTGACTCTCAGTAATTCCTTTGATTAATTATGAATAATCACAAATTTTCTGAAATATTAATCATTTCATCATTTAAGTATTCATGTACTATATTAAGTTTGTATAGATATTCAATGATAATATACTTCTAAAAATAGTTTAAATAGAATATATTTCCTACATAAAAAAAATAAAAAAACCTATAATCTAATTAATAAAAAAATTAAATTTATTAAGTCATATCTCACAAAGATCAAAATTAAAAGTCATCAATATGGACCAAAGATAATAAAAATTAATTATTACTTTTAGGATTTATTTTTTTCCTTATAGGAATCCTAATGACGTTGAAGATCTTATAATTACTTGAAGATTACTCCAATAATATTTCTTGGAACGTAATTCACTAATATAAATCCACTTAATTTATACCTATAAAAATAATTCATATTTCTAATTAATTAACAACATCTTTATTATAAGGCTTCTAATAATACAGAGAATGGCTGGTTAGCACTTTTTAATTATTATTTTCTTCTCGTTGCATACATTTATTATTGTTTGATCTAACATTATTCACTAATTAATTTTATTACAGACAATAATCAGATTCTGAAAATTCCTATGAAAGTATTTTTTGGGGTATGTTGAATTTATTTAGAATTCACTTCACTTATCTTGTTCATTTTATTCGTTATGTTTCTCTATAAATAATTTTTCAGCTACAACAAATCATATTAAAAAGGAGAATTTAAATGACTGACTGTCGTCGATTCATGATTTTTGTATTGATTCATGATTTCTTGTTTTTTTTTTCCAATTAGGTTTGTCATTTGGAGTAGCTTCAGCATTAGCTTACAAAACTATTGGTGTTCTATTTCCTCGACGAAAGATCGAAGAAAAATATGAAGATGAGACAAACAAAGTTGTTCAAACTAATATACTTATAGTTATTACTATTAATATGCTGGACCAAGTGAAACTCCAGCACAATGCATAGTCAAATCCTGAATCTAACTCTAAGGCAATACTTGGTTGGCCTTCATCGTTTGAGGAAGTGATAGGTTTATTACATGACGCAAGTATATCAACACTTTTTTTTTCATTTTCCAATCATTTGGTGTTCAAATTTCATAATATGATCTCGACTAATAATTCAAAATCGTCTCACTCTCATAATATCCTTTAAAAGGAAGCTCTCTCTAACATTTTTTCCCCATTCCTATGATTTCAACTCGAAATCTCTAACAACACAATGCATCTGCAAATCCTGAATCCAACTCTAAGGTAATACTTGGTCGGCCTTTGTCGTTTGAGCAAGTGATAGGTTTATTACATGACGTAAGTATATCAACACTTTTTTTTTTTTTTAATTTTCCAATTCAAATTTCATAATATGGTCTCGACTAATAATTCAAAATCGTCTCACTCTCGTAATATCCTTTAAAAGGAAGCTCTCTCTAACAATTTTTCTCCATTCCTATGATTTCAACTCGAAATCTCTAACTGATGTAAGAGTTGAGGGATTTTATTCCATTTTTGTTAATTATTGATTAATTGTATATTTGTAGTGCAAAGGAGAAAGGAGCAATAAATGTGATACCTATTATAAGATATTAACGAAGTGTCATAAAGGATCAGGTATTTTTATTTTAATATTTTTTATTATTATTTTGAAATAATTAATTAAAAGTATTGTGTTTGAGCCTTCAAGATTAGTTGAATTAGTAAATTTTGAATGTCGTATAATTAAAAACAAAATAAAATCTTGATAATATTGTCCTAATTCCATCTGCTTCATATTATTTATTTATTAAAATTGTAACATATGAACTATTTTTTTGCTGCAGCTACCATTTCAACAACAGATATTGGCTCAAGTCTTCTACTTGATTCCTTTTATGGCGTAAGTTTTTCCATTCGATATTCGATAGTTAAATTTAAAAACTGATTAATTTAAATTTATATCGAGAAATTTCATTTTGATTTTTTCCAAAATTCTTTGCAAATTGAGTTGTGTCATTGATGATATTATATAATTTTATATATATATATATATATATATATATATATATATATATTGAGGGTCGCTTTCTTTTAAAATACTATATCTTTTATTTTTCAAATATTTATTTGCCTTCAATTTATTAATTAAACGATTTTTTTTTTATGTCTACACAGTGCATGAGAGAGGCTTATCCGTTATCAAATAGCCAGAACGCATGCAGGGAAAAATACAGCAAATTGATGAAAATTAGTTATTTTGTTTCTCCCTTTTAATAGGTTATTAATAGTGTAATTATTATGATTTTATTTAGTTATAATCACGATTGACTTTGAATTAACATTTCATTAGACAATGCAATTCCTTAGTTTTTGTTATTTATAGTATGATATTTAATTTTAATCCTATTTATTCTTTTTTATTTAATCAAATTTCTCCTCTTTATAATCATCTTATAATAATTAATAATATCTTCTCTTTAAATTTTCTCTTCGTTGTTAAATATTCATGTGAACATGCTTAATGATTAAAAAGATCACATGCATCAACATAAGATTGTTCAAAGTTGAATTGAAATCGATAGTCTGAACATCATTGTCATACAAAATAACGAATTAGAAATTTCATATTTCTCCAGCATTTTATATTCTATCATATCCTTAGACCTTATTTAACAATTTTTAAATATAATGTAATTTGATTAGACATAAAATTTAAGAAACATGAAAAGATTTTAATACGTTGTAAAACTATCTTTATTAAAATAAATAAATATTAAAATAGAAGAGTACATTTTGTGTTTTTTTTTTCTTCAAATAAGTGGAATTGAATTTGGATAAAATATAGTATATATTTATTAAAATCTTTTTCAAATAAACTAAAAAGAAAAATGTCACTAAATTGAAACGAGAAGCAATAAATATTCTAAAAGTAGAAATGTTTATGAATGTGTATTTAGGCCTTCAAATCTGGTGAAAAGCACAAATCCAGTCAAACATTTCACTTCCGAGCCGAAACTTCTCCCCTCCACCGGAAAAATTCCGCCGGAATCCGCCATCTCCGTCGGCAATGTGGTCGACGAAACTTTCACAACCACCGGCATCTAGTTACTGCAGTCTCCAAAGCTCCCTCCTCTCTCTCGCCATCTTAACCCTACTCTCCTTCACATACCTTTCCCTCAAATCCTTCCACTCTCCTAATTCTCCTTCTTCTGAAACTCCTTCGCTCATCGTGCAATCATCTCAGGTACTGCTAACATTTTCTTCTAGATTCTTCTAGAACATGCTGATTTATGCTTGTTTTAATCAATTAATTTATTTGCGATTTAAGGTTGTTAGAGCGGAGCAGGAGGTATTATCGGATGTGTATAATTCACCGGAAGTGTTTAGGTTGAATTATGAAGAAATGGAGAGGAAATTTAAGGTGTTTATATATAAAGATGGAGATCCGAAGACGTTTTATCAAACGCCAAGGAAGCTGACTGGGAAGTATTCTAGTGAAGGATATTTCTTCCAGAATATTCGAGAGAGTAAGTTTGTTACTGAGGATCCAAATGAAGCTCACTTGTTCTTCATTCCGATCTCTTGTCATAAGATGAGAGGAAAGGTAAGCATTGTGTTCTAGAGTATTCAAAATCTTATTTTGATTTGCTTTTTGGTGGTAGATTGGTGTTATGTGATGTTTATGAAATGAATTTTGGTTGGATATGGAATGTTGTGCAAAATAGTCACATATTAGAAGTTCAGTATAATGCATGATTTACCTAATGTTGAATTTTTTGAATGGAGAGTGGCAATGAATAATACCTTATACAGTTGCATCAGGTGGCTTCTTTTTGTAATCCATTTGATTGGTGCTAGAATCTCTAAGTTCATTGATATGATTCGATTAGTTTAACAAGGTTGAAAGGCATTTGCTTTCTTCTTAGCTGAGGATGTTAAGCAGGACTGGCAGATCCATTAACAAGGAGTGAAAGACATGATGGCTAATTTTTTGTCTAATTCATTTAGATCTTATGCTAGAGAGTGTGCATGAATGAGAAGTACAATTACTTCGGAGTTTACTCATTACTGTTGGCTATAGTTTAAAAAATAATCTTCTTAGGAATCAGAAGTCCGATTCCAGCATCTATTAGTGCGGGTGTGTTAGCTGAATGTATTAGTTTTTCTTATCCAAGTGTTAATTAATTAACTGGAAATGCCGCAACCAATGTTG